CAATAGGAATAATAACGCCAACTCAGGGCATTTTGATTTACGATCGATTTGAATTCATTGTTGCCTTTACAGTCTGATTCTCATCAATTAGCATTTATTTATAAATAAATAAATAGTGCATGCCACGCAAAAATAAGAACCATCGCAATTTTAATGTTTTATAAAGAACCTAATTTGCTACCAATCGACGGAAATGTCTTCGTGGAACAACTGTAATACCATTGGGTTCCTAAGCGTCAGCATTTTGCAGCATTACGTGAGGCTCCCGGGCTCAACCCGCTCCCTAGTCCAATTTTTTTAAAGTTTGTCAATTGTTAAAACTCTCTCGTTTTTCATGTATTATTATTTTTGTCTAAGCCGATTGTTAATGTGCGATTAGAATGTTTGTATTTGTAGCCCTGAGGAAAAGCTCAAGGCCCAAACGTCGTCACATAAAGACATTTCAAAGAGCCCTCATATGAATACCACACGAGCAACCACTATTGTTTGAAGCTTTGGTTTTTTGGTTTTCGTTCACTTCAAACAGTAATAGGACAATGAAAATTATCACCTGAATACGACACTTCACAAGATCAAGAGGGACGATAGCAGTGTGAGTGATACCACAAGATAAAACTCCTCCGAACGCACAAAGGGAGTAGTACTTCAATGTTCCGAATTCCACTTGGTCAGCTAAAAAATAAGTTTGAGCTGCAAAAACGACTGCGGAATGAAAGAAACAAACCTACAACCGTCGAAATAGTCGTAGCGGCAATAGCCACGCCAACTTGAACAACAGCAGATGATCTGCCGTAAGACAACCAATCCAGAATACCATCAACTAGCTGGGTAACTCCCCACAGATACAGGATCACCCACATCGATACGATAACGAAACATCCTGCGATCCCTCCACGATATCCAGGGATCCGCGCACGAACAAAGTAATGGTATGAACTTCTCTTGCGTTTCCGAGGTCATTCTTAACATGGCTAATAGAAAACCACGTTGAAATAGAACCCCATAGGTGGAATGTAGCGCGTCGAGGGTGAGCTGCCACGTTTGTTCACACACTCGATCTCTCACCCGCTCGCTCTCGCTTCTCTGCTTCCTACCCTCAGCGGTGACGCCCCTTGCGCAACCCATACAGCAAACGCTGAGCATGGCGAGTGAGCACTTCCCAGGAGAGGCTGTTGGTTAACAAGAAGTCAACCTGAAACCCTAACAGGTAAACCAATATCCTGATCATCGTGCAAAAACTTGCCAGTAAACAAGCCCGCTCCCGCTAGTGAAATGTGTAGGTTGGATACGCATTATGTACTACTTCGAACAGAGGTCGAGTGAGTGGCTCATTCACAGACTATCCGAGACCATCCATTTCACCCTTCTCGCCTCTACTAGCGCATTACTTGACAAAGAAAGGAAAATTTGCAAGGGGGGGGGAAGATTGAAATTTTTTCGTCCATTTCTGGTTTTCTCCTTAAGCGGGCCTTAAGTCCTTATCGTAGGGCAAAAAGGTCAACCCCACCAGAACATCAGAACGAGCCTCTATTCTGCCATTCATTCACTGGACCTGCGCGTTAAGCTTTCTCTTGTCTACGAGGTTGAATTCTACCCAATAGTAAATCTGGTTTGATCAGCATTCTTTACGGATGGCCAATAAAGCTTGCAAATACAAGCTCCGGATAAACCTTAGTGTAACCGAACCAGTCATAATTATATGTTTATTCGATGGAAATAACGACACGAATGGAAACTGCAAAACCTACCCTCTTCTTTTTCTACGTGCAAGCAATTGCCGGTCCGAACAGGGAGAGAGAAGGGATTAGCCTTGGCGGTTTCGGATAGCTGGCTGACCAATCCCATGTTACCTAGAGCGAATGAAAATTGCAGAACCGAAGCAATGAAGCACGACAAAGAAAGTCGTCACAATTAGCGTCAACACCACATTGAGGATTCAGCTCAATAATATGATACTTGATGAAAAGACAAATTTACGAGAGGAGGAAGCGAGGAGCAAATAATGGGTCGACTAGTTTCGTCGTCTTAATCAATGAACGAAGGAGCATCGCACTGAACAACTGTGCTAAGGAATACGCGTCACTTCTCAAAGGTTTAAACTTCGTAGACGCTAACAGTGTCCCAGCCACCTCGCAACTTGGGCGTGAAACAATAAGCTGAAAAATCCCGGAATTTCACCGAATGATGCATTGGGTCAAATCTCAAAATTTACGCATCTTAACAAAGTATCGAACACAGCAATATCACTGCAGGAGCCTTAGTCAGGTTACGTGGTTGTTAGATGGACTATTCCATATAGATAACCAATTCTAATTCTAAAGTCAGTTGCTGGATCAATATCCTACCAGACGAGCGAAATAGTCCGCTTTCACTAAATCAAGTAGTATGTGCAATGACGTCGCATACGGATACTAAGAAAAAGATATTACCAGCAGTTATCCCGAATAGTTAAATATCGAAAAATACAAAAAAAAACTTTTTAAGCAAATAACTAGGTAATCAGTGAACTGGGGATCAGAGTGGAACAAGAACCGTCTGCAGTCGCCTCTTTTCGTGCGCCTCCAAGTTGCAACGATCGATCAGCCCATGCCACCTCGCAACCCCGCCGTCACTTGTTTCTGCTGTTCAACCGACACAGCACAACTAGGTTGTCAAAAATAATTTTCATCTACCACATGAAATGGTAGGTGCAAGGAAACAGTGCCGTGTCCGGCAAACGACACCTAACGAATAGGGAATCAGTGCGTCCACTCAAAATATTTAGAACATTATCTGTTTGATTAACAAAATTGGCGATATTCATGCGCAGATCTTTTCCAGCTTAAAATTGAGCAAGAGTCGAATATGGTGGAGACACGACCTCTGGCTACCCTACCCGTAAAATGATATTTAACTTCAACCTATCAACACGACCCTCACTAGTTTTCCTTGAACGCGAAACATCCCTTCAAGAAATTGATATCAAGATCTGCTTCTTTGTGCAAGATGTAACAAGAAGAACGTGGAAAAGATAAGTATTGCCAAAATAATTTCATATCCCTGTGTCTGAACTCAAATTCAAGAACCAAGGATATTTCCGAACGAACGCTTTGTTATTCTTTGAGACGCTTAGAATATTGCCGCGCTTTGATGTTGGGTTGTAAGCTTACTGTAAATACAGTTTAGCAGGTTCTCTTAAAGATACAGAATGTGAACGTTTTGTTCAAAAATGCAGCGCTTAAGATATTGGCGAACGCAACGAAAAGCGGCAGCAAAAGCGGCCAAGAAAGGGCATTGACTTAGGGTAGTTTGATCACAACTCAACTCAACTTAACACACTTAACTTAAGTCTGGTGTATCCAGAGAGGGCAACAATCAGGCTGAAAATCGTGCCGAAAACTGAATCGCGGCAGCATCGAGGACCATTTTCGGTCACTCAAAAAGTCGCATCCTTCTTCACCATTGCGAGCTAATTCGTTGGCAACTCTCGAAATGTGTCTAGAAAACATTTTCCAACGTAAGCGATAAGAAAAGGGGCAATCGTCATCATCCGATTTCGTCTGGTATAGGCCATGCATCCGACCTCCACTCAAGTTGCAGAATCGATTGAAAGGTGTTCATATGATGATGACCAGTTGACAGAAACTATTGTAGTAAACACATTTCGTAACTCCTACAACCTAAGGAACAGCTCTGCTTGCACAGGGCATTTACATATCTTCCATCGTTTAATTTACTGTTTTTAAACGCGGCTTCCTCATAAAATTAGAGGAATGGAGCGACAGAAGCAACAAATAATATCATGCTTCCCCTCACATAATCGTGTACTGCTGCGTTACATCCTCCCCCTATCTACACTACGAAGCTACTGATGTGCTCATTACTGACCCCACAATCACGAACACCCCTGTCAGGATTTCCTCGACCGATATTTGTCCTGGTCACAATAGGAGGACAGCGTGTGCTCGCGGTCATACAAATTTTCTTCTGAGCCTTTTCCTTCCATTTTCATTTCTGTGCACTGGACAAGGTACGATGTTTTCTTCCTAATGGAACCATATATCAAGCACTTTAGAAGGCAGTTCAAAATAATAAATAAACTAAAATAAATAAATAAAAAATAACTAATAAATAAATAATGAGAATAAAAAATATCAAGCACTTCCCGACGTGTAGCCCAAACAGTCCTCTGTGACACTGTAGCTCCAAACAGTTTTTATGTAAGCGAAACAATAACATAGTACGGACAAATGCCTCAGATAATTGAACGCCAGTAGGGATCTGAAAATCGCTACATCAAGCGGCAGCTAAACGTAACAAAAGAGCTCGTATGGGTAACAGTCAAACGCTTCAATAAGTTCAGGAGCACCACAGATAGGAAAGGCGCAGACTCGAAGGTTACAGTTGCCATCACGACAATTAAAAAATTCAGAAAATCGCTGTCCTCTTATGCTACTTTCGTGGCCCGAAATGCAAGAAAAATTGATGTAAAAACCCAAATGGACACCCTGAAGAGTTCGAGTCTGTCGTTGACAGAAAACCGCTCTATTACTCTCCCCAGACTTTCGACAGGACAGAGAACTTAGCCAAAAATTGCGCAAAAAAGGATATTTCGAGTTATACGGAATTGCTCCTGGAGCCACTTACCTATTCGTTCTAGCCGTCTCAATCAGTCAACCCGCTGGAGGAAGAGCTAGTTGAATAACTCCAACAGAAGTTCGATATCTTGGAAAAAAAACAAAGTAGAAAGCCTGGGACTACTAGCACGCCCTACTTTACGTGCCACCGCACACACGCCATCCCCCTTGATCTGAAGGCTTGGGTAAAGAAGGTAGGAGCTCTCAACCCTGATCTGGTTTTGTTTTGTAATATGAATGACAGACGCTTTTCCGAAGTTTGCTTGTTCCATCAGGCTACTATGCCTTTTTGACGACATATTGTCTTTGTCCATTTGGGCCTACCTTGCACATCATCAGCGATTCGACAGGATTAAAAATCATTTCTTGGGCGGTGGCATCAAAAGAATGTTTTTACAAACAGCTATTCTGCGGCCTCCTCCCCGAAACAATGGAAGAGAAAAAAATGCTCCTTGATTTTTTTTCTAATTAGGATCATCTGCAGCAGTCCGAAAATATGAGTCTCACAAAGTACTTAATTTCAGAGCTGTGATTAGCAAGCGGATCATGCACATCGTGTAAAGTGTCGAGATGGTCGCCAAATATTACAGAAAATCGAAGAGAAAGAGAGGAGTTGTAGCAGAGCACACTCATCTTCGCACTGTTTAACTCAGTAGACATGACATGCAGACATTGCATTCCTCTCTCAACTCTTTCGCCTCTCCAGCAGGATAGTGTTAAACTACGTGATGAATTGGAATTTTCTCCGTGTTCTCTGCTGTTCTCTGCAAGGCTAGGGCACAGACCGGTGGTATTCTGAGTTTCCCAGCTCTGAACATTACAAAATGGAAGGATAAGGGTCTAATGAGTATAAATGAGCCCAAAGGAGAGAATGAGCCTCCGATTTGGGTAAGTCATTTACCTTGCGATATGAGAGAGGGTATGGAGGAGTACAAAGGGAGTTAAACTGGAGATCGAGTCGAGAACTGCAAAATGTCTTGTTGATTAATAACTGCTGTTTTTAGCCGCAGCTGGCTTTGCGAATATCTCTCAAGAATGCTGAGCTGTGAACAAATCCTTCGCCCCAAACAAAAACAAGATAAGAGCAAAAAGTGCGGGTTGAGTCCCGTCTGAGGCGAAAGTTTTGTTCACAATCCTGCATTCTTGTGAGAATACAAAATGTTTTTCAAGAGTTGCACACGCTTGCCTCCGACTAGACGTAACCTTCTAACTTTTCAAGAATTGCCTTCAATGCTGCTGAAAGT